GGAATGTATGGTTCCTTAGGAGATCAACAAAGTAGGACATCTGTAGAGTACATGTCTTTCTATGGGGTCTGGACAGCTCTCCCAAATTAAAATTAGTTATAGCCTCTAAGGGAAATGAGGAGAAAATCTCAGTAAGTGCGGCCTCTCAAGAGCCTTGTGACAGTCTGTGTGAGACTCACGTGGTGCCACGGTCACCAAGGTCTCATGCAGTTTGCTGTGAGCTTCTCTGTCACTTCTTGCTCCATATCCTCACACTAAGTCTATTTTTTTTTAACATTGTCTTTTAGTTTCTGCTCTGCTTCATCTTTCTTAGCAAAGAAAATTCCAGACCCTCTCACTGGGTCTGAATTCTCACCCTCATTGGTGCCTTCTCTGATTCTGCAAAGTCCACATCATCAATGGTCTCCACCAATTTGTGCTTCTTCTTTTTATTTCTTTTCTTATTCTTTTAAGTGAGTGGAGGACTCACTGTGTGCCCACCTGTAAGGATCTCAGACACCAAGGCTCAAACTAGCATCTAACCTCATATTCCAGTTTAGCTCTGACTAATCTGGTTCTTATTGTGCAAATGCAATTACTCCTGAAAGCTTTCTCTGCAATGACCACTCAGTGACTAACCCCTCACCACGTGGTTCTAGTCCTTCTTTCTGACCCCATGCCCTTATCTGATATTGTTGCCAACCACTCCCTTACAACAAATACTCTCTGGTTTCAGACTGGCCCCACATTAACCCCAGTCTGCCTGCTTCTGTGTTCAATACCCTAAATTTTATTTTGAATGAAAAGAAATAAGGCTTGATGAGGGCAATTCACTTCACAAAGAAGGACTCACACTTTTCACCCGAAGAAAAGAAGAGTTCATGATTATCTGTCAGATCACCAAGAGGCTCCTGGGTGTTACACAGCTTGTAGCCATGGGAGGAAGACTTGGGGTCCCCATGCAATGAGGCCTGCAGGATTGATTCAACTTTATCCTTGTTTGCACCCTCAGGGTTCATCCTGGTGACATAAAAAATACAGTTAAACCAAGGAGGATCTACTGTATAGTCCCAGAAGTACTGTCAGAGGTGCAGAGAGGTGGTCCTATAAGGTAAGGGGCAC